GAGTTTGGAGTCTCAGAACCCATGTAAAAGCCAGGCAGGTGTGATGACCTGTAATCCCAGTGCTTGGGCAGAGTCAGAGAATCCCTGGGGCAACCTGGCTAGCTAGACTAGCTGGATTGGTGAGTCTGGGTTCAGAGAGAGACTGCCTCAATAAATACAGTGGCGGAAGTTTAAAAAGACACCCAATGTCAACTGTGAGCCCTCATATACATGTATGTATATGTTTACACACATGTACGTTTACCCTCACATGTGCAAATACAAATACACACACACACACATACACATATCTATAGCTTTTCTTGCTGACATAATTTTGAAAATGGGGTCAAATAGGACCAATCTGAGGGAGGCACTCCCCTCCCCTGAGCTGATTTCTTCCTGAGTCTCTTTGTCTAATGCATCCTAGTTTATAATTTGAGTTCACTTCACTGACATGCGCCATCATTCCCACCCCAGCCTTTCAATAAAAGAATTGTATATTTTTGGCATAGAGAACTGAGTGAGTAGCAGCCTAAGGCTTTCATTTAGCCTATATTTTATCTCTGCTTCCAGACTGGTCCATTCAGCAAGTAAGTTAGCCAGCAGTGTCTATCAACATAAAAAAGTTTTTTTCTTATTTTAAATCTTTATAAAGTAATATTTTCATTTTATAAAGATGCAACTTAATACAAGAGAGATTGAAGTCCTACCCAGAAGTCAAAAAGCTGCTGGGTATGACTAACTCCTTGTTTGAATTATGATAATACTAGGTAAGGGAAATGAATGGTAGCATAATTTTAATGCTTGAGCAGTTTAACATATTTCACGTTTTTCTGTCATGTGATCATTTTTAGAGCATGCCTCTTTTAAACTCTCAAAGATGGACTCTTAAAGTGAAGCTATGACTTGTGAACAAGATCAAGAATCAAATGCAATGAATACATTGAAGTGTGGGAAATGCTATTTGTTAGGCCTAATGAGAAATGAATAAACATTTAATACATTTGAATTATATTGTTTTGATGGGTAAAGGGAAGTCTGAATGTATCTCCTCTTGTTAGCCAGTGACTGCTGAGTGTAGGATAAAAGTATTGTTTTTGGTTAGGATGGCACTAAGCCGGTCCTCTAAGTGCGAGTTTACCAGAGTAGTCAGTTACTTCAGAGCGCTGGTGCTGTGCCACACTCTAACTCTCTCTCATATAGAGCTTCAGTTGTGAGAACTCATCTCTGCTGCTAACCAGGGTATGCCTAGGTATGTGAGGAAGTAAAAGAGGTGGGCAGAGGAGAGGAGGGAAGGAAGGGAGGGGGAAGAGAGAGCAGGAGGTAGAGAGGGTTCGATCACACATGAGACTGTGCACATGAATGCATATGAATGAATGTGTAAATAACCTAGAAGGCTAGATAAAGTCACTCTGCAGAATTCAAATGTGACTGTGACTGAATATCAGGGCCATGGAAGAAGGGCTGTTTTACTCTTTTCTCCTAATTTTTGTGTGATGATAGACTAGCCAGTCCCTATTACTTATGTGCTAGACAGAGACTCTCTTGTGAAGGACTCTAAGTCTTCTTTTGCTGTAAACTCTTAGAGTACTACTGTGAGGTAGGTCTGCCCCCAACACACACATGCAGGGGGGAATGGAGGCACTTCTCTTTCACAGGTGTTACCGTAACTTCTCAATCAAGTGTTAACACAATTTATCAGAAAATTAGGAATAGTGCTACTTCAAGTTCCAGCTGTACCTCTCCTGGGAATATATCCAAAAGATGTTCAACCATACAACAAGGACATTTGCTCAACTCTGTTCATAGCAGCTTTATTCTTAATAGCCAGAATTTGGAAACAACTGAGATGTCCCTCATGGTACATTTACACAGTGGAATACTACTCGGCAATTAAAAACAAGGAAATAATGAAATCTGCAGGCAAATGGTGGGAACTAGAAAAGATCATCCTGAGTGAGGTATCCCAGAAGCAGAAAGACACACACATATATACTCACTTTTAAGTGGATATTAGCCATATAATATAGGATAAACATACTAAAATCTATAGTCCTAAAGAAGAGGCTTGATCCTCATTCAGAAGGGCAAACAGGATAGACATTGGAAGTAGGAGAAGACAGGGGACAGAACAAGGACCTTCCACAGAAGGCTTCTGAAAGACTCTACCCAGCAGGGTATCTAAGCAGATGCTCCCAAGTGCTGGGAGGATAATCCTAGGAGTTTGCTTACCAGCCAATATAGTCAAAAGAGTGAGCTCCAGATTCAGGGGGTAACCCTGTCGCCAAACTTTGGTCAGAGTGCAGGGAATCTTATGAAAGAAGGGGAATATAGAAAGACCTGGAGGGGACAGGAGCTCCACAAGAAGAGCAACAGCACCAAAAAATCTGGGCACAGGGGGCCCTGCAGAGACTGATGAATCAACCCAGGACCATGCTCAGATGTAGCCCATGGGCAGCTCAGTTTCCATGCGGGGTCCCTAGTAGCAAGGAGCAGGGGCAGACATTGGCATGAACTTGGTTGCCTGCTCTTTGATCACCTTCCCCTGGCAAGATGGCCTTACTAGGCCACAGAGAAAGAGGACAGCCCTGATGAGACCTGATAGGCTAGGGTCAGATAGTAGGGGAGGAGGACCACCCCATCAGTGCACTAGGGGAGGGGCGTAAGAGCGGGATAGGGAGCGTGGGACTGGGAGGAGATGAGGGAGGGGTCTATAGCCAGGACACAAACTGAATAAATTGTGATAAATAATAAAGAAAAAAATTTTAGAGAGCGAGAGAAGATGCTGGAGCCAGAGTGTGTTTCTAGGTACCTAAGTTCTGTGCTCACCATGCATAAGCTGTCTGCATTGATTTAGCCCCAGGTGTCTCAGTGTCACAGCATTTACTGTTTAGTTACTGCTCACTGACCAAAAGGAACAGCGTGAAGGCTCCACTTGGTGACTGTGCTGACTGATCAGCATGATCAATCACCACTGCAAGAGACAATTCTGAACAGTTCCTGTACACCCATTTAGATAGATTATATATGTATACCTGTCAGTCTATCCACCTTCTTACCATTTACATAGCTAATATATTTAGAGATACAGTAGCATCGTACTTAGGGTGGATGGCCCCGCTTCAAACAATCCAGTCAAGAAAATGTCTCACAGGCAGGCCCAGCTGCTTGGGCTAGGTTCCAGCTGTACTCAAGTTGACCACCAAGACTGGCCATTATAAACAGTATGTGTTCATAGCTACCTAGCTGTCTCCCCCATGCCCCCAGTAGCTTTGACCTTTGAGCTTGTTCCTTTATTTCCAGCTGATATGTTGAAAGCTTAGTTTGTTTACAGTAGCCTTGTACATTTTCTAAAGTAGTTAAGGTTGTAGACCTTTCTTAAAAACAAAACAAAAACCAATTTCACTGTTGGCAGTGGTGGGGTGCTCCAGCACACATATGGAGGTCAGAGAACAGCTCTGTGGAGTTGGTCTTCTCTGTGCACCTTTACGTGGCTTCTGGCCTGAGCTTAGGTTGTCAGGCTTGTACAAGCTCCTTTACCCACTGGGCCAACTTCTCTGTTAAACATTAATTACACTGTTTCTTTGTGTACCTATATATGTATGTTCTCGTGGGTGTGGTGGTCAGAAGACAGCTTGTGAGATTTGATTCTCCTTCCACCATGTCTGCCCTAGGGATCAAACCTGCTCTGTGAGACTGGGTAGCAAGTGCCTTTACCTTCTGAGCCATCTCACTGGCCTCCGACCTTTCTTAATATATTCTTTTGACACATTGTCTTGGAGTATTTACAGTAAGATTTCAGATGAAAGGAAACACTAGGTGGGAACTTTTAAAAACCACCTATTACTAGGAAACTGGTAAGAAAAGCTTGGATAATATTTTAAGGATGTCAAAGTCAGCCATTTAAAACTACTTGTAAGGGCTGGGAGATGGCTTGGTGGGTGAAGGGCCTGCTGTGCAAGCATGAGGAGGGCTGGAGTTCGTATCCCTAACCATCATAGTCATAGCAAAGTGGGGTATGGGTCTGTGTGTTCCCGTAACCCAAGTGCTGGGAGGATAATCCTAGGAGTTTGCTTACCAGCCAATATAGTCAAAAGAGTGAGCTCCAGATTCAGGGGGTAACCCTGTCGCGAAAAATAAGGTGGAGAGCCAGGCAGAGTAGCATATGCCTTTAATTCAGTAGAATGAGGCAGGTGGATGGATCTCTAGTTTGTAGTATGAGACTAGCCCTGTCTACATAGAGAATTCCAGGCCAGCCACGATTACACAGTGCCCTGCCTGAAAAACAAAACAAAACACAACAAAAAAGACAGCAATAGAGGAAGATACCCCTAGTCAGCCCCTGACTTCCTCATGCGCATGTTAGGCAGTTGTACCATCAATCATGCACATAGATAGGTGTGCTATCTCTCATTTTTCTCTCCCACCGCTTTTATATATATTCTACTATATATATATATATATATAGTAGAATATATATATATTATATATATATAATATATATATATTAGAATATATTATTTAAGGTTAGATGACTTAGTGGGTTAAAGTACTTGCTGTGCTAGCATGAAGACCTGACTTTGGATCTCCATAATCCACATAAAAGTCAAGTAAAGCAACACATGCCTATAAGCCCTGCACTGGGGTTGGAGATGGCAGACCCTGGAGGCTTACTGGCCTGTCAGTCTAACTGAAGCCTCAAGCTTCAGGGTCAGGTGAGTCCCTGTTTCAAAAAACAGCGTGTAGACACAATCGAGGAAAGATATCCCAACGTGAACCTCTGGCCTCCATGTGTCTAAACCGGAGAACACCCCGCAACATATCTGCATGTACATGTACCCACACCCACATTCACTCATCCCACCACATCCCACACTTAAAAAGAATGCTGGCTTACATTACCATGATTAGCACACTTGTGAACAGATTTGGTTTATTTCTCTTAGTGCAGTGGGTGCTTGGCACTTTCTCGTAAATATACAACTATCTCAGAGCATGTGTTTACTCTGTCCTTTCAGGAGCAGTGGCCACGGCATGGAATAACCCCCTGTCTAGCTGGTTGAGTGCTATGCTGCATTGCTTCGGTGGGGGAATTTTAGCCTCTATTCTTCTGGCAGAGCCTCCACTCAAGTTTCTTACAAACCACACTAATATTTTACTGGCGTCTTCAATCTGGTAAGTTTCCTTATGTTGAGGTATGAAGTCTTTTAAGAATTTCTTTATAGATTGTAGTAAAATGGATATATTTTTCTTCCAAATTTTTTGTGTCCTTAAGTTAATGCGTGTGCAGTAAGGGAACCCAAATAGTGCTAAAGTTTTTTAACTTTAAAGATTGTCTCTTGCCCTTTCTCCCCTTATAGTCTCCTAGTTGCAACTGTTATTAAAGTTTTCGTGGGAACATTTTAGCATGAGAGAACATCAAATATTGGCCCAGATATTTTCTTTTGTGAAACAAACTCAAACACATAGAATTATGACATGATAAAAATATCTAAATGTGAACAAGTAAACAAAAAGCTCAAATGATTAATGGCTTATACATAGCTTTTCTCATCTTTCTCTTTGTTGATTTGATTATTTGTTTATCGATAGAAAGCAAGCAAGCAAGATAGATAGAGAAAAAGAGAGGGGGTGGAGAGAGAGAGAGATAGTTTGGTTCAAAGTCTCACTATGTAGCCCTGGCTGTCCTGAGACTCAGTTTATGGGCCAGGCTGTTCTCCAATTCATAGAGACCTACCTGCCTCTGCCTTCTTAGAGCTGGGAAGGCATCACATCTGGCTCCTGGAGTATTTAAAGACTTCTGACATCTTTAAACATGAATTTGGTACTTTTGAAGTGAAGGGGAAAATGTTAGCAGGAATTGGCTTGGATTTTTCTTCATGCAAATTTAGATGTTCTTAAGAGAATTAAGTTAAAAATATATTGATTATTGATACAAATCAGCGTGCTTTGTTTTAGTTAAACTATGCTTTCTATTAAAAACTCTGTCAATTTAGTGTGTATTGGGAACATTTGGAATTCATTTTTACTGGGCTGGTGAGAGGCCTGGTGGTAATGGGGCTAGCCACACAGGCCTGGCAGCCTGAGCTCTAGCCCAGAGCTCGCAGAAAGCTGGAAGAAGAAAATGGCTACACAGAGCAGTCCTCTTGACTTCCCCGTGTTCACTGTGGCCTGCAGCCCTCCGCCCATCATGCACATACAGCACAATGATAAAACAATCAACAGTTCATTTTATTGTAATAATTTCAAATTTATTAGGCAGTTATAAACAGGATACTTTACATAATGTGGTACTGGTAAAGTCGAAGTAGGAACTTGTGGCTGTGGACAGTAGTGCGTGGAGTTATTCACCTGAAAATAGTAATTATTGAATTAATGTTATATATCAGCTAAATTTTATTTTCTTATTTAATCATTAGTTCTATAGCTATTGTAATTACTTTTTTCTGACAAAATCTTTTATTGGTGACATTAAGAGAAAAAATTACTCAAATACTATGAAATAGTATGCTCCATCTCTCTGATCGGTGGCTAAATATTGAACTCATCTACAGCTGTTCTCAACATCCAGTAATACGCAGGTCAGGTACTGAATGGCTGTCATCGAATTGTTCTGCAGGTAACCCTCCTCCATATAAACAGGATTTTAGGTTTTATTGTGGCTTTGTTTTTTAAAATTCAATCTGCTCTATGAAATAAGGATTTTTTACTAACAGGGAATACAAACCAGTTTCTCAAGTAGCTGGTATGTAAAATCATGATTCAAACTATCAGTGAGGAAGAGAATACTATTTTAAACTCAAACAGGAAAGTCTTAAAATGACTTATAGGCTGCTGTTGCTTTCAGTAAAAAATACCACTTTCTCTCTTCTAATAAATAGTTTGTTTTTTATGGCTGTGGAAAGTAGGTGGACTGGAATTAATTATGTGATAACTAGTATGTATTGAATTAGTATTATATATTAGCAAAATTCTTTATATTTATGGGTCCTGTGAAGTAGCTATTATAATTATGTTTTGAAAGATTTATTTATTTTTATTTTATGTGCATGGGTGTTTTGTTTGAATGTATGGATGAACGACATGAATGTGTGTGTGTGCCTGGCGCCTCAAGAGGCCAGAAGAAGACATTGACTATCCTGGAACTGAAATTACAGATGGGAACCACCATGTGGGTGCTGGGAACTGAACCCAGGTCCTCTGCAGGAGCAGCCACTGTTCTTAAATGATGAGACACTTTTCCAGCTTCTTAAAATTTTTGAAAATTAGCTTACATGTAACAGATTTCTTTATGGCATTTTCATATGTACTTAGATTTGGCTGAATCCTCATCCTTCTTCTCAACCTCCCTGGCCTTGTCCTGCTTTCTCCTTCAAACCCTAGTTTGCCTTCCATTTTTATATCAAATGTATTCAGCTCACAGTGCTAGCAGAGGTAGTTGTTATTACTTCTGCTTGAAACCAAGGAAGCTAAGACAGGGAAGAGTTGCTGTAATTTCATATCTAGATAGGTGTCAAGGCTAGAATCAGAACACGTGCAACTGTAGAGCATCCACGCATGACTTGCCTACTCATCTCACAGTATCATCTTCCAAAAGCACTTCTAAAAGACTTCCATTTCTATAATGGTACTTTAAAAAGATACTAGCAGTTTGGATTTTTCTAATGTTGTATAAATGCTGAAACTGTAAAAAGTAAGGTGGCCAGATTCTCATAGTTCCTGTCTCTACTGTTTCTAGTATCAAACACCAATACTCCCACTTCTGTCCTGGACTTTGGTATCTTCCTAAGTCTATTTTTCACATAACAATGGAGTGATTATCTTAAAATAAGTTATAGTCTGTCACTCCTGTCATAGTTTGTTGGTGTCCTAACCACAGAACAGAGCTGTTCCATTAGACTTACATGGCTGTAGTTTGGGTTCTGTGGCTTAGTTAAGTGACACTGCCTTTGATAGAAAAGGAGAGTCGATAGCAAACGAAGCAGTCTTCTGAGAGATTAGCCCAGCAAAGCTCTTCTCTGCTCGGCCTCTGGTTTTAACCTAAATTCTACCCCCATCTTAAAGCCCGTTTATAGTGGTTTATCTTGCATTTGTTGGCTGTATACTATTTTAGACTAATTTCTACTCTGTTGTTTTTCTCTTTCCATTAATCTGATCTGTGTGACTTAAAAGTGTGTGAGAAATCCATTATTCTCATTCCACTTCTTTTTTCTTTCTTGTATACTTTTTTAGGTGCTTACAAGGTAAAGGTATTTTAGATATTACAATCTTAAAGTGAAATTACAATCTTTGCAGAGGAGACATGCTGTTTGGTTAATGCCTGTTGGCCCAGTAACTTGTCAGATCAACATTATATAGCTAACTTATGTTACAGAACTAAAGTGGTTGTGTCTGAAGTCATTTGTCTGACATGCTTGTTTTTAAGTCTGTTGAACTTTTCCTGCATGGCAATACAGGTGGGCACAGGGTTTTAATATGTGAGGTTGTTGTAGCTGTACTTTAGGCATATCTGATGCTGGGCAATGGTGGTGCACACCATTAATCTTAGTGCTTGGAAAGCAGAGGCACAGGGGTCTCTATGAGTTCGAGGCCAGCCTGGTCTACAGAGCTATTTCCAGGAACAGCCAGGATTACAAAAGAAACCCTGTCTTGAAAAAAACAAAAGAAAAAAAAAATCTGTCCTATTTGGTTAAATAGGATAAAAATGTAGGACGTAGAAGTAGCAATAATTATAAACTATCGACTGTATATTATAATGTCACATAATTGAATATAAAAAGTCCAGAGTTTCTGTTGTGGTAAAAGGTTCTAACACATGTTAAAGATAGAATGAGGGAATGCAAATGGACTTGTCATAATAGCGTTTTGGTTCTTCTTTAGAGTAGTTATTTTTAGCATTAATTATTGCCAAAGCAAAACTGCATTGTCTGTTCTTTATCTAATCTATAATAGATACCGTGATATTGTTGGCTTTTATTAAGAACACATACACAATTCATTATTTAAATGTACACGCTTTTTCCCCTCTATTGTCTAACTTCCTGGAAATCACTTCTATATTTAAAACTTTCAAAATATTATATGACCATGTAAAAAATTTAAACCATAAAATCTTATCTCAGATAACATAAAATTTCTCCAGATACTTTATTTTTTCTCTCTGCTGCCAGATTGAATGCTAATAAGCTATTCAGTTCATTGCTATTTTTCATTATGCTGAGTTTTTGGTTAGAGGACAGCTGCAGGATTCCTGCCATCCAGTGACCAGTGGAATCCACTGATGAGCACTAGCGCCTTCATTTATTTATTTGGTTGTTTATATTTTAATTAATTTATTTATTCACTTTGCATCCTGATCATTGCCCTCTCCTTTCTCTCCTCCTGGTCTCACTCTTCCTCCCTCTTCTCCCTTCCTTCCTCCCCTATTCCTCAGCTAACTACCCACCCCAGCTCATTAAGTCCCATCAGGACTGAACTTGGGCCGTTCCTCTGTGGCCTGGCGAGGCAGCCCCACCTGGGGGCAGCGATCAGAAAGCAGTAGAGCCTTCATTTTTATGTTGTAAAGGACAATGTGTAAAGAGCCATTTTGAGGCATAAGAACCAAGTATTCTACTTGTTCAGAGCCACCGTTTGTCTGACCTGAAGTGAAGCAGACCTTCCACTGTCTATGGATATGGTGGTATTTGAGCAGGACCTTGAATAAGGAGTTAGTAAGTAAAGATGAAGGAGTGTCTGAGCAAACCATTGCTTCTCATATCAGGTATCTGAAGCAGTGTTCACAAAGATTTTATATTCTGTGAAGACATTTGAGGTTTTTGAGTTTATGACTCATGAATTGGAATAAAATTAGCACTTGCTTTTAAAAGAACCCTAACACTTTCTCCATGCCGTGGGTTCTGTGTCACTCCGTTAGAAGAGGATCTGCTGTGCTTATGCACCAAACTGTCTAGGAGTGGAGTGGAAAACTAATGTATATTTTCTAGAAAATAACACTGATAGTATTTGAGGAGAGGCTAAAGAACAAAGATTAGAACTGTGACTCCCCAGAGAATGGGTGAATTATTGTAAAATTAGCAACAACTTCATTGGCTAAAACTAAGCTTACTCAACCAGATTGAAGATTGAGTTTCATATTCTTTCTGCTGCATGAATGTATATTTTCCATACATAAACTCATTTCCTTGTGAGCTGTCTCCATCTTTGTATAGATTTGAACTTATGCCCTAGGCAGAGGGACACAGGTCAAGATGTTAATAGGAGTTGAAATGTAACATTTACTCATTTACCAAAAGGCTCCTTTGCCTAATTCCTTTTCCCTAAGAACAAAGGCCACAACCTTTACTTCTTGGAACTGATCATGCATTTGTTTCCTTTTTTTAATAAATTATGTACCTAACTTTGTTTTAAAATTGTATGGGTGAATTAAAAACTGTATAGAGTATTGCAAATTGTATGACTCCTTCTGCTTATTATGACATGGATGTATTATTATGTTTTGTGTGATTTAAAAAGCAATCTAATATTTCGTTTGTTTTTTTTTGAAATCAGGTTCGAGTTTTTGTGGATAATTGCAGTGGTTGTGTTATGCCATGTTGTTAGTGAGGATGATTTTGATTTTCACTTCTGTTCTTCTGATATTATTTACATTTTAAAATACTTTTAATTTCAGGTATATTGTATTTTTTTGTCCACGTGACCTAGTTTCCCATGGCTATTCACATCTACCTATTCAACTCCTGGCTGCGGGAATGAAGGAAGTGACCAGAACTTGGAAAATTGTAGGTGGAATCACACAAGCTAATAGCTATTACAAAAATAGCTGGATAGTCATGATAGCTGTTGGATGGGCCCGAGGTAATTTTAACAATATGTGTTCATTAGTGTTATGTTACTGATCTACTGTAATTCCTGAATACTCCTTCTAAAGGAATGTTTGTTTATATTTTAATTAATTAATTACATACTTTAATAAATCTTGTCTTTTTAGTTAGTAAGTTAATTTAAAAGTTATATCAGTATTAGTGATCAGCTATTATTTTGAGCCTGTAAAGTTTCTTATGAATAATTTCTTCTGGTGTCTCTGAACCATAAGTAATTATTTTACTATAAATGAAATAAGTTTAATAAGAAAATTTGTGGCTCGTGAAAATTAACAAGAACGTGGCTGAGGCTGGGCATGGTGATACACACCTATAATCTGAGTGCTTGGGAGGCTGAGGCAGGAGGATCACAAGTTTGAAGCCAGCTTTCACTACACAGTGAATTCTAGGCCAGCCTAGTCTACATAGAAAGACCCTGTCTAAAAATGAAAGCAAAGTGCTCTTAACCTTTGAGCCATCTCTCCAGCTCTTTCTCCTTTCTCTCTTCTCTCTTTCTCCCAATTTCTCCCTTTCTCTCTCTCTCTCTCTCTCTCTCTCTCTCTCTCTCTCTCTCTCTTTCAGTATCTCAGGTTGTCTAGGCTGGCCTCAAGCTCTCTATTAAGGATGACCTTGAACTTCTGACCTTCCTGCCTCTACCTCCTGAGTGCTAAAATCATAAAGGCAAGTGCCGCCATGCGTGGAGTATGCAGTGTTGGGAACTGATGCATGCTAGGCAAGTGCATCTAACAATGAGCTCTGTCTCTGATCCTGTGGTTTTATCTATAGGAACTGAACAGATTTCTGTAACCTCTGTTACAGTATACTGCATCTAAATCTAACCATACCTAGGGAAGAAATGTAAAGAGAGGCTCTTACTTTTCCTAAAACAATTCTCTCTCTGTGTGTGTCTGTTCTTGGGATCCCAGCTTGTTAACCACAGGTCACAGTAAGATAGACAGTTGTCATGCTGGGGAGGGAATTTGCTCTTGTCTCAGATCTCAGTGCACAGAAGACTGAGTTCTTCTTGAGAATTCTGTTTTGGTAATCTTGGGTTTTAAACTGGGAGAGGAAATTCTGACTTCTCCTGCCATGTAATTTCTTAAGAATATTAGTTAAATATTCTTGTTTTTTTTTTTATTTTGTTTTTAGGTGCAGGTGGTGCTATTATTGTAGCTTGTGAACAGTTGTTAAAAGGAGATTGGAAACCAGAAGGTGATGAATGGCTGAAGATGTCCTTGTAAGTAGCCAGTATTATACTGAGATCTGGACTTACAGCCTTAGATACTACCCAGTTTCTTTAAAATGAGCATATTCAGAACTGTGTATGTGACTGAAATATACCTGAGAAACAAATGGCAATTGCATTGGGAAGAAAACCAGCAAATTCATCAAGAGTTAACTTTCTCAGATGAAATCTTAAACATCAGTTTTCTGTGTATTCACCTTCTTTATGAAAACAGCTTAGGGATGAAGAGATGGCTTAGTGGCAAAGAGTACTGGCTGCTCTTATCCAGGACCCAGGTTCAGTTCCTGGCACCACATGATGTCTCACAACTCTTTGTAACTGCAGTTCCAGTGGCTCTGATATCCTCTCCTGGCCTCTGAGGGCAGCAGGCACACATGTAGTACACAGTATATACATGCATGCAGTATACCCATATACATAAAAACAACAATAAAAACCCTATTGAGACATGATATGATATGTTTTTTCTCATAGTCAGGTCTTAGCTTTTAGTATATATTATGTGTGGGCATGAGTAGGGAATAAGTCCTGAAATTAGGAAGGGGACCAAGAGAAAGAGGAAAGTAGTTTTGAGGAAGTGGGGAGTGTGAGAGCCAAGGGCCACAGGCTAGAGTTGAAGTGCAGAGGCCAGGGCCATGCTATGTGAGGTCAGAGCATGGAACCTGAAGGCACAGCCATTGGGTCCCCTTGGATCTTGATCTGCTCGAGTTTGAAATGTCTTGGTGCCAGGGTGCTCTCTTTTTCCTTTTTGGAAGAGGAGTATCTGCTGCCATCTGTTTCACCATTGTGGTTTGGAAGGAGGATCTTACTTCCTGTTTCTTAGGAAACAACACTAGAATTTTTCAGTGCATCTCAATCTTCATAACAAATCTAACACTTTGATTTAAATCTTCCTTAAGTCCTTCTCCAACGCCCTTTCACAATTATCTGCAAACTGCTTATTTTTTTTGAGGCACTCTTTAAGAAAACCTAATCCAAAATGGTCAGTGTGAATGTCAAAGCCATTTCCTTAATCAGCTTCATTAGTACAGGAACCAAACTATTAGAATAACAAAAATAACGTCAAGATAAGTCTTATTCCATTGGTCAGGGGTCCTATGTATGTTTGTGTGTTTATGTGTGTTCACATGTGTGGGCTCACGTGGATCATAGTGCATGTTTGTGCATATGCACGCTCAGGGCTGGTGTGAGATGTTTTCATAGATATGTTTCCACCTTATATCTTGAGGTGAGGTCTTTCAGTGAACGTGGAGCTCACTGTTTCAGCCTTCCTGGCCAGCCAACCTGCTCCAGGACATTTCCTGTCTGTGTTCCTGTGTCCTGGGATTACTGGTGGGCTTTTATGGGTTCTAGGGAGCCAATAGGTTTTTACTCTGTACAGCAACCGCTTTACCCACTGAGCCCTCTTCACAGCCCCTTGTTTGCCTTTGCTTTATATTTTTAAATGTCCAATTTGTGTACATTTTATAATATAGTTATATGTGTATAAACTGATACATATATTAATATTAATATTAATAATTGTCCTGAAACATTTTTTTAAAAGTACAATGAAAGTTTAGAAATTATTATTCCAAGACATGATTGTTATTTAATTATATTATTATGTGAGGTCCAGATCTTATACTGTTTTGAACTCATTTCTTAGTTTATAAAACTCAAATAACCTTTAAAAAATCAATTTGTGGCAGAGGAAGGCGATCTCTATAAGTTTGAGGCCAGCCTGGTTTAACAAAGCAAGTCCAGGACAGCCAAGGCTACACAGAGAAACACTGTCTTGAGAACACAAGGTAGATAGATAGATAGATAGATAGATAGATAGATAGATAGATAGATAGGCAGGCTTATGAAAATCTTTGTCATTTTTGCAGTGTGGCATTCTCATAGTTTATAACTTATCATCTGTAGGCATAGAGAATCTGGTCACAAGTGTGACATAGAGAAGCTTACACAAGTGTGTAAGATAAAAATACTGTTGCTTAGGTAGGTTAGCAGCATAGTGATTTCATAATATCAGCATTAATAATTAAGATATTGGCAGAGACTGACCTACTGTGCTCAAGGTAGCTAAGGGCTATACTAGAGCTGGCTCATGCTGCTTTTTTTCTTTTTTTCTAAGACAGGGTCTTACCATATAGCTAGACTGGCCTCAAACTCAAAAGTACTGGGATTAAAGGTGTGTGCCATCAAGACAAGCTGATACTGCTTTCTGAGAGTGGCTTTGTGTATCTTACTCTCCATTCTGTATAGTAGCCTGAGGTTGTCCAGTGGGGTGGTGTTTACACCACAGAACAGGAAAGACTTTTTCCCACTTCTCTCATCTGTCTTGGGGTCTTGTTTATCATGGAAGGTGTTTCAGGACTAATTCCAGATTGAGGAATTTTAAAGACCTTCAGCTCTTTAAAAAAAGTTAGATGGGTAAATATATTTCTCTATTGGCAACGCAATGGACATAAACATAGTGGACATTCTAAAAGGCCTTGGGCCTGCAGGGTTAGCTCAGTGGTCAAGGGCACTTGCTGCTTGTCTTCGTTAGGGTCACTGTTGCTGCCCTGAAATACCATACCAAGGAAACTGGAGGAGGAACAGCTTTGTTTGGCTTCCCCTTCCCCTTCAGGTTTGTCATCAAAGGAAGTCAGGACAGGGGCTCAGACAGGCCAGGAACCTGGAGAACCTGCAGAGGCCATGGAGGGGTGCTACTTATTGGCTTGTTGAAAATAAATAAATAAATAAATAGATAGATAGATAGATAGATAGATAGATAAATAAATAAATAAATAAATGAAAACCCTCAGTACTTTATGCTGTAAGAAAAGGTTTTTAAGTTTATATAACTCAGCATTTCTGAAACTTTAAACATATATTCATATCTGTTAACAGTCCATTAAGTTGTCAGCAGAACACTCTGAGAAAATAGTATGCAGAGGACTTTTTTGTCACTGACTTATTATTATTATTGTTTTGTTTTGTTTTTTTGTTTTTTTTTTCCTTTTAGCCCTTCCAAGGTAACTCTGCTAGGGTCAATTGTCTTCACTTTCCAGCACACCAAACACCTGGGAATATCAAAGCATGACCTCATATTTCTGTACACCATCTTCCTCGTGACCATAAAGGTAAGAAAGTTGCAGGTCTCCACCGAGCAGCATTATAAACCCTGTTTAAGCCTTTCCCTTAATGGGGTCCTTCAGGCGACGCTAGGACCAGGAACACTTTACTGGTGAATATTAAAAGATGACTTTGCTCAATGTATCAGGATTTCCTGAAGCCCTTGTGTGGCTGCCATCAGGAGTGTTTATGTTGGACAGGGCAGACAGGCAATTTATTGGAACCCAGAGCGTAGTAGGGAGGAAGGCCAGAAGCTGCCCAGATAGACCTGCATCATCTGTAAAACCAGGGTAGTGTTTAAGGTGACACTACTCTTTGCTTTTGTCGAAGGTATGTTCTTAAGTTTGGAGGTAGAAGAAGTCACATACATTTACAGAAGTACTTGTTCATTTGCGTTTGAATATATAGGTGCTAATTTTTCCCTATCCCTACCTATGGCTCTCTTCTTCCTTGAGAGAAACATCACCCTCTCCCTCATTTTCTTCTTCCCTCTCTTCTCTACAATTTCTTTTTCTTTTTCTTTTTTTTTCCCAACCAGAACTCAAGCAAGCAGAATATTCATCCATGTTCAGCTGTGTTCAGCCAGATTCATTAAAGAGGAAATCATATACTTTTATAATTCTCTCAAGTACTTTATGAATGACAAAACCCAAGCCACAGGGAAACAAAATAAATGAGAAAGATTATCAGCAGAGGAGAAAACCCTTGTGTTGATACAGACTTATGTTGAAGTGAAGGCTTTGTAATTTTGAACAAGTCTGTGTTTCTTGAGCTAGGCTTACACTTGCCCCAAGAGAAACGTGACTTCTGGCATTGTTTGTATAAAGTCGTATTATAAGTGTGGTATATTTTCCACCATTAATTGATATCATGGTAATTAATTTTGAACATGTTAAATAATTATTGATAAAAATTCATATGCGCTAATTTTTTTATGATTTTATGTGTATGTGTGTTTTGCCTGCATATATGTTTATGTACCATGTATATGTTTGGTGCCCAATGAGACCAGAATAAGGTGTTGGATTCTCTGGAATTGGAGTTACAGATAATTGTGAGCCGCCATGTGGGTGCTGAGAATTGAACCCGAGTCCTCTAGAAGAGCAGCCAGATGCTGAGCCATCTCTCCAGCCCTTTGACATAGGATAGTTTTTAAGTTAATCTTTTGTCTGTCTTGAACTGTGTCAAATTTAGATCCCTTCTCCCATCAGAGAATACTGAAAGAACTTTGAGAAACATGTATTACTTATGGCTGTTAGCTTGAAGAAGCTACAGTGAAATAGTTACTGTGAAATAGAGCAAAGGGACTGACCAATAATTATTAAAACTATAAAGAAACTCTGGGTTTTGCAATTAAACTGTGTATGATGACCTTGGTAAAAGCAGTTTCAAAGACTGGCAGAACTGTAAAATGATTTTAACTCATTGAGGAAAATAAAAGGAGGTGAAGATGAGGAGTATACATGTTTTGAAGGGGCGTGGGGGAGTGTGAAGAGGAGCAGTCCGGGGAGAGCAGTCTGGCAACAGTGAATAGTTGCAGATCCAGCTATCCTGTCTCCTGTGGTTTCTGGGTAGGTAGAGCCAGCAGCCAGAGCCCGCTTATATTACAAATGTAACTTAGGTAGCAAAGTACTGATTAGTGTGTGTTTACAAATTACTGATGAGTGAGTTCTTTTACATTATTTCAAAAATCAGTTTTAGAATAATTTGTGTGTAATAAAGTCTCCTCAATCCAGAGAGTACATTTTTATATTAAGGTCACTGGCTGCTCTTCCAGAAGACCCACATTTAATTCTTAGCAATCATTAGGACAGCTCAATCAACAGCAGTTCAGTCCCTGATGACTTGTGCCCTTTACTGGCCTCCTTGGGCACCAAGAACACCCATGGTGCATAGACATGTGTGCAGACAAAACACCTGTACACATAAATAAGCTAAAATATGTAAATTAAAAATTTTTTTGAACGTGGGTTGTCTTAACCAGTGGCTATACCACTGAAGTAAATCTCTCTCTCTCCCAGCAATCATTAACTACATAGAAATCCTCGAGGAATGGTGGGGGCATCATGAAAGCCTACCTCTTTCATGGCAAGATGTTGGCCGGTCCAGTCTTATGCAAATCTTGTGCAATCCATCACAGATACTGTGAGGTCAAGACTGCAACAGCTATGTCACACCTGGAAGTCAACATTCCATACCACTTCCCTCTTCTCTCTGTTTCTTACATTCTTTTTGACATGTCTTCTCTGATGTTTCCTAAGTCTTACAAGGAATAGGCTAGATGCTCCAATTTTTGCTGAACTTTTAACAGTCAGTTATTCTCCCTACTTTGCCCAGTTATGAGTCCCTGCACTTCATACTGCCCATTGCAAAGGAAGCTTCAGACTGGAGCTCCCAGCAGCACTAATTGTAGGTATAACATCGTTATTCAGAAGGCAGCGGTGTTAGGCACACCATGTCTATTTAGCGAAACAAAAGCAGTAGCTTCCCCATTCGGTTCTCTGACCTCTGTAGCCACAGCTTCTGATCAGGTTTTACATTATGAGATATGAATAAATTTCCTTCTGTGGAGTGGGCCTCAAATGCAGTGAGAAAGCTGTTGTGTGCTGTGCTCCCCCTACCCCCATAGAGCTGTTGTTTGCCCCTGTAACAGACTGGCCACTATTGCATGCAGTTTGCCTCACCATTCAGTAATGTGGCACGGGACTCCACAGCTGAGTAAGGCTGTTGGTGACAGTCTCCCTCATTAGCCTTTGGAGCACCCTCTGACACCACAAGGTCTAGCAAACTTCTGGCTCAGTCCTAGCTTGCTTTTTGCGTGTTCTGTGACCAGAGTGTTTGGTGTCTTCAGAAACTAGGTCTTACTATTAGCTTTTAGAAACAATCAGCAGTGGCACTAGCTTGTATTTTAGGGAGGCAGGAAGTGAGGAACTTCAGACCCTTCTCTGACCAATAACTTGTAGGGAGGTAGCCCACCCCAGACACTGGAATTTGCACGACATCCTGTGGCTTCTGAGAGCAGTTTAATCCATACACATAGAGTACTTCCTTCAAACTCTGTAATTTTATTTATAAAATTAACTTACCAGATTTTTTCCCCCATGCATCCTCTATCCCTTGTCTTAGTCTCCTTCTTCCATAAACAGTTCCACTCCCGAGGTTCCCTCTTCCAGACATAATGAATGATATAAAGGTAGTTGTTTCAAAGCATACATTTCAGAGCCATTTAGTACCTTCCCTCTGTTGTATGTAAATGAGCTTTGATTTGTGTATGTGGTAGCATTAGTGTACTGTAGATTAGAGATTATATTGTGCCATTTTCATCTAACAAGTGTTCTAAATTATTTACCATTATTTTTCTGGGTACTTTAACTTGCACAGCACATGCTTCACCTCTCTGTTCTTGACTTATACCCTTTTTGTAGCTTCTCAGTCCCTAGATGATGTCACACTGAATGATACTTTATTCTTGATACCATGTCCCCCAAGAATGTGGCTTGTGTAGGGGCCTATTTAAGGAATGTCATTCTAAAAGTTTCTAGTTTCCTTTCTTTCTGGGATCTGGGAGAACTGACTGTTAGATAGTTTTAGGGCTTTGAAACTAAGTTAGACCCCAGATTTCTGCAGATCCCTGAGATTGTACATTTTCTCGAACAAATCTGAGCATTTTGGAGCAGTGTGATTTGCTGGGGATTGTAAGCACTTTTCAGTTCACATTCCCAGTCTTTGTTCTATACATTAGGTCATAAGTAATTCAAACAGAAAAGATTAGTGTCTCTCAGGATAATGATCTGCAGCTCCTGAAAGTCTGCGGCCATTGGCAATAGTAGTAATTGAACCCAAATCTGTATTGTACTCTGCTTACCACTTAACTCTCTTTTTAGTTTGGAGCAAGTTACTTCATCTGTCAGAGCTGTGACTCTGCCCATCTCTGATGAAGGCAACAGCAATTGTTGCATTGAGTTGGAAATAGAAAGGACTATAAAGCATTTACCAGAGTTCTGACCCATGCCAGGCTTATAGCTGTATTGACTGCTGGTGTAGACTGTAAGATTATATCTCAATTTCTTTGATTATCTGTCTGTCTGTCTATCTATCTATCTATCTATCTATCTATCTATCTATCTATCTATCTATCTATTTATCTATCTATCTATCTCTATCCATCTATCTCTTCCTCCTTTTTTTTGGTGGCAATAGTTATACTTCATATGTTTCTGGTATTAATTTTGAGGAATAACATTCATTAAATTCATAGAGATCAGAGATTTTCACAGTATTGAGCTTATTTTTTTCTCTTACAGATTAAATTTAAAAAATACATTTTGAATCTTTTTTTGCCCCATTATTTATTTTTCCTCTGTTTTTGAGAAACAGAAAATGTTTGTACTGAAATTCAGATTATTTTTCCCCCTAGGTAACCATGATGATGACAGCAGATTCTGCTGTGACCCTTGCTCCCTTTGAGGATACCTTGACTCGGATGCTGTTTGGCCGGCAGCAGCAGTTTTCACTGAACGAAAAGAAAGCTGAACCGAAAACATCTTCTAATGGTTCTGCCTCATCCGTGTCCAAGCCGGCCACAGAGGCTCCAGGTGCTGCTAAGAGACTCACCAAGAAAGAAGACTGAGGACTTTACCCGGGCTTAGGAGGAAAGGAAAGAGTTACTTATCTGTTAGAGTGTGTTCGCATTTCTATGTGAATGATGTAAAATAAGGATAGAGGGGGCAAATAGGAAGAGATGCTTTGTTTCAAGGACACCGCTCTGTTGATTGTAACTCTTGGAGTACGAGTGTATCATGTGAATTTATTTTTCTGCTGTAAGAGATTTTCATAATTATTTGAATAGTTTTATATTGAGAAAAGAAAAAAATTTTTAAATGTTAGAAAAAGTTCACTTGTTACTGCAAAATTCTAAGGATTTAACAAAAAATTCAGTATTTTTTTTTTTTACCTTTGAATGGCTCTAATTGTGTTTTAATTCTGCAGAATTAAACTTTGACTTCATATTTCCAGTATAATTCTTGTACATAGAAGAAAATTCCTATTTGATTTTGAACACAGAGAACTTTTCCTAAATACTTTTAAACCGATAGTGTATATTTGGTGTATAAATTTGTTTTATATATCTTACACACATTAAAAATACCTGAAATTTAATTTATTTTAGTTTCAAGTATTATTTTTCATTGAGGCCACAATGTTATTATGGATCTCAATTTGAAGTTTGTTTCATGTCCTTGTTTTAAAAAAATACTTTTTCCTAAGAAAAGCAGAGTTACAATGTGTGTGTGTGTGTGTGTGTGTGTATGACAACAGCCTCACTATGTAGCCCTGGCTGGCCTCAGACTTCCTACCTTGGCCTCCCAAGTGCTGGGATTATGGGCACAGGCCGCCCTGCCAGGCCAGGGAGCAGTTTTCATTGTTTGGAACCGGGGTTGTTTCGTCTCTGTGCATACCTATTTCAACAGTGGAGAGATTCTTCACTCATCCTATGTTCCTCCTGACTAGTTGGTCAGAAGGTGCTGCTGGCATGCCTCAGTGCTTCAGAAAGTACGGTTATGGCTGAAAATGTCTCCTGTACCTCTTTTCCAGTGACCACAGACTTGGCGTTTGACTGTCTCTTGTGAGTTTGCATGTGGGTATCTTTGCGTAATAGACACATACATGTATTTCTAGTTTTATCTGAAATGAAAACCTCTTTCATGTGAAAATGCTCAGCTCTCGTGAGAACCGTCTTTGTACATTTAATGTGACCCACAGAACATAACCTCACATGGTAGAATACTTGAATGAAATAATCCATTAAATCTGGTTTCGCATTGACAAAAAGCAAACAAGAAAATGCACTGAATGATAGATCTTATTTCCTTTATTTGGTGTATGAATGTCCCGTCACTAATATTAGTGAGCCTGCATTTCTGGTTGGTTAAGAAGCACTGAAATAGCATGCAGTATGTAAAGTTTTTCTGTGTTTTTTTTAAGACAGGGTTTTTCTGTGTAACAGCCCTGAAATTTTCCTTTTTAATGTTTAACAAATACTCACACCAGCCAGTTCTATACTTCCACTTGCTTAAGAAGATTTTGAGTGGGGCAAGTTTGATAACCTTCGTATAAGAAAATGCCTATTTTTGATATTATGACAAAAAACATTAAACTGCATTCTCTATTTTATACTTGATAATCTGTAGTTAAAAACTCTGCAAAATTAACATGTTATTAGTTCTGAAGTTTGGATTTAACTGTAGTTAAAATGGCAAGTCTTGTTTTACATTTGTGTTAAAAAACAAATTCATTAAAAGAAGTACTTTAGCACTCAAACAGTAATCCTTTTTTTTTCATTGTTTTGAGGAAGGAGTTCCGAGCCCTGTGTTTTTGACTCTGTAATACACTTAGCACAGCCGGAAATGGCCATTACTATAGACTTCATCAGGCTGTGCAAATATCCCGTATCCCTCAGTTCTGTGTACTTAGTCCTGGAGAATGAAGTCTGCTCAGGTGACACTCAGAGACCAGCTCCTCACTGCCTAACTGCCAGGTGGATGTGGTCCATAGGCCATCTTCACACAGCCCAGTCAGCTGACCCCAAGAGGAGGCGGGAAAGCTGCAAGAACATGGGCCCTTGACTGCCGCGATCCAACCTCTATCAGGTTCTAAACACTATCACACTGAGTGCCTTCCTGACAGTTTCCAGTAAGGGACAGAGAAGTGGCCGATGAATTCCAGAGGGAACTCTGAGCAGTGTCCTTCCCAGTGGGTATAGAGGAGTGAAGGGAGACACTGGGGGGAAGAGGGTAGCTGTTGCCTGTTTCTTTCAGCACAGATACTTTAATTAAAATGTGTTTAAAGAGAAGACTACTTCAAGTCACGAGTTGATTGCAGTTGAGAGGAATGTTGGAAACTGAGTCATGTGTTGAAAATGTTTGGAATAGGAGGCAGAAAGATTATAAGAGCCAGAGGGGATGAATGAGAGGGAAGCAGTGCCTTCCAGGCATAACCGGGCAGACATGAATTCAGAGCCTGTGGCAGCCTGCGCAGGACTGCACAGGTCTAAGCCATGCGGAGGCCCAGAGCTGAGAGAAGAGCAAGCTCCATCCCTGACCCACAAGCTATCTCCAATTGACAGTCATTTGCAAGAGAAAAATTAGTTATTGTCAGTGGAGTCTCACTTGATACGCAAACCACATGTAGGGACAGGCCCCATGCCTAGAGGAGATGGCCAGCGCAAAGCGACATCAATGGTATTTTGGGAGATTTGATTTTATTTGTCTCATATTGCCTTGTTTGGTCTTTTTTTTTTTTTTTTTTTTCTCACCTTACTGGTCTTTTAGCTTGCATATTGTAGTTTCTGATTTTGTGTTTTTAATGAGTGTTTCTCTTTTCTTTATCTTTTCCTTCCTCCCTTCCTCCATACCTCCTCCCTCCCTCCCTCCCTCCCTCCCTCCCTCCTTCCTTCCTTTTTCTTCCTTCCGTCCTTCTTCTTTATCCTTTCTTGGTTTTTGCCTGGTGTGTTCTAAAGACAGAAAGAGGGTGAGCTGGAAGATTGGGGACATAAGGAGGATCTGGGAGGAGGTGATGGAGGGGAAACTGATCAGAATTTATTTGTATGAAAAAACTTATCTTTAATAAAAATGGTCTCCTTCCCTCTACACAAAGCCCTTTATGGTGTTTGTCCCAGGTGTAAATCACATTTTGGTCAAGTTCTTTTGCTTATTCAGCAAATATTTAGTGCCAGTTTAGGTCAAGACTTAGATTCTGAAGATACAGAACACAAGAAAAATGCTTGTTGTTATGGAGTTTACTGAAGACACAGGAAACAAATGTGTTCCTGTGGGTATAAAGATATTGAGTGGATATTAAGCAGGACCTAGAAAGTAAGAGTTTGAAAATCTGTTACATTGATATTAGAACTGCTTTATGATTGAGCAAGGCAAGCATCGTACTGTTTCTTTATTAACCTGATTTACTGAAAATTTTTTTCTTTTTCTTTTCTTGGGTTTTTTTGTTTTGTTTTGAGACAGGGTTTCTATGTGTAGCCTTGCTGCCCTGGACTAACTTTGACTAGACTGGCCTTGAACTTAAACTTCTTTATAAGTACAATTCCATGTAAAATAGCTGTTACTTCTTTTTTTGGCTAAGTTTTTAGTAGTCCTGGCTGGCCTGGAACTGCAGTGTAGTGCAGGCTGTCCTGAATCCAGATCCTCCCATCCGTGTTTCTGGTGTGCTATGATTGCTCAGCTAACAACTTTCTCCTTACTGTCCATTTTTTAAGACACCATTTGCACGGAATAAAACACAATCTCTAGGTGCCCTACACTTTGGGATTTCTCTCTGTGTCTGCAGGTGTGCGTGTGGAGGGTAGAGGTCAGGGTTCAGTGTCTTCCTCAGCTGTTTTCTACCTTATTGACTTAAACTACCTTTTATTCAGTGTGTGGATGTGTCGGCACGTGAGTGCCGTGCATGCATATGGAGGTCAGAGGTCAACTTTCAGGAGTCTGCTTTCTCCTACTATGTGGATGACTGGGAGTGAACTGCCAAGCTCAGGCTTGGCAGTAAGCGCCTTTACGGCCTGAGCTGTCCTGCTACCCTAGTCCCCTTTTTGAGATAGGGTCTGCCGCTCAACCTGTACTGGCATTACAGCTGTCTAGACAGATGCTGGGGATCTGAACCTGGGGTCCCAGCGAACCCTCCACCATTCGAGATGTCTCCCTAGAACCACAAACTGAGTTTAAGCAAATGCCAATGGCTGTGTCCTCCTAATCAGAAAATGAATGTCATGAGGCCTCCCAGAGTTGATATCCAGTTAATTCCCTCTGCCAGTGGGCATAATATGAATGAAATCATGTGCCCGATTTTCCTTCATGTAGGTTTCCTAGAAACCTGACACTTGGATGCTTGTATCTTGTGTTTATCAGTAGTTCATGCCTCTCTAGTTGCTTCATAGTGTTCTGCTGTACCACGTCAGCGATTCTATTGATTCACGTCGGGGCTGTTTCTAACTTGGGATGTTTCAAATAAATAACTATGAACATTTAATGCAGCTTTCGTTAAGTATGTTTTTCTTTTCGGCCAATAGGAGAAGCCAAGGTGGATCATGTTCGGTTTTATAAAACACCTGGCTGTGTGTTTTTGCCAAAGTGTTTGGTTGCAACAGTTACTGCTCCACACCACTGTCTTCAGTGTTCTAATTGATCTGGGTTCTTAGCAGGCACCAGTGCTGTCAACATTTGAATTGTATCTATTCACAGTGGATGCTTTTGGAGGTTTGAGACTTTGGTTACCCTGACCAGTGATGTGGAACAGCTGACTGCCTTTCTCTGAATTTCGTGTTCAGATCACAGCCCATGTTTTATCAGAGCTTTCTTCCTATAAATTCCTATAAACAGTAAAATTTCTGTACATCTCTCAAATCAGTTCTGTCAACACTGTCTTTCTGGTCTGTGACCTAACATACTTATTTTTACATATTTCCATGAAGAGATTTCGTTTCTGGGGAAGGGTGGGGAGTGAGAGGCAGGGTTTCTCTATGTAGTCCTTGCTGACTTGGAACTTGCTTCGTAGACAAGGTTGGCCTCCCACCCACAGAGACCTGCCTGCCTCCCTGCCTCTGCCTCCTGAGTGTTGGTATGGAAGGCCTTATTTTATGCGTCTGTTTCATTGTTAGTGGAAATAGATGTTGAGTGGGGGCTATTGCAGATGCTAGTATCGTGAGCAATACTGCTCTATCTTTCGGTGTACATACTTTTCACCCGGTGTGTTTTGGAGCGTGAGACTGCTGGGCACTGGCGTAGGAGCATGTTTAACTTTTGTAGATCGTTCCCAAAATTTGCCTGCAAGAGTTTGCATGGGCTTGTATGTTTGTGCACTGATTGTGTGCATGTGAATGTGTGTGGGCATGTCCTAATTCCCACACTCCACACCCCCCCAACAATGATTGGTACAATGTGTCTTTCGATAACTCCTGTGAAGGCCTAAGTATTAGTGACTGTTTTAAAATTTCTATTTCTGAGGCTGGGGAAATGACTCATTTATTAAGAACACTTACAGCTGTATCAGGGGACCAAGTTCAGATCTCAGAATCTACGTTAGGTGGTTGGCGAATGTCTGTAATGCCAAGGAGGCATACAACTCTCTCCGGCCTCCGGGGGCACACACACACA